GAGAGAGAGAGAGAGAGAATTTGGTGGAGTTGTATTAATTTGAAGATTAGAGAAGTGGAATGGAAATGATTTTTCTTTTTTTCTTCTGGTCTTTCAGAAAGATAGAACGTGAGTGACAATTTGTGTTGTATTAATCTTTTTTTGAGTGGGAGGATTTATTAAAAATAAATTTTTAAAAACGTGATCAATCAGCTAATCTCTGAATTTCTGAGTGGAGTATTAAAATACTCCAACAAAGTGTTGTACAGAGATATCTGTGCGGAACGCACGAATTACTTATTTAAAATCTCGATGACAAGTAATCGGATTTCATTGTCCGTTGAAGAAGTATTTGTAGAAAATATATAGATCTGGAAGAATGAAAAGAAAGGGGAATGTCTTTTGTCGAAGAGAAGAAATTTCTAAGAAGAAATGGCGATGAATCCAAGAATTTCAGAATTAAATGCATGCCTGAGCGATTCGAATGTCTTTTTCTAGAATAAGAATTCTTCGTTCATTTCCTTTGCGACTTCCAATAAATATTACGGAAAGGGGAGAGGAAGAGGAATAAATAAAAAATTTTATTTTAATTTTCATATTTCTCGAGATTGATGGAAAATAACAACAAGAAATGATATCGATCGAAAAGTTTCTGGATTCGAGTCGCGATTGGAAATGGTGAAAAAGGTTCTTTCGTTATTCAATTAAGAGATTGGAAAGTTGTTGCTGGCCTTCTGGAAGCAAGGGGAAGCAATGGTTCTCTCCTCTCTTGATTTTTATTTAATCAGTTAACTTGGAAGGTATTATCGAATGATTATTTCATCCATTACATCATCTTCATCATAATTGTAATGAAACTAGTCTCCAAAGTTAAATTGAATGGAAGAGGGAGATCGTTTGTACTTTGGGACAGAATTTTATTCCGTTTCAATAAAATTTCGATCTTTTTTGAAAGGAGTAATAAAAATAGAAAATATAAAAAAAAATCCAATTTTCTAAATATTCCTTCAATGTGCCCTCCAAATAAATTTACAATAAATCTTGCAAATTGACAATTTAAAATTTTTAAAGTGAAATGTCAAATTTTATGGAAAAATTCTCTTGAATAATGAAAAAAATGGAAAAGATTCCTATGTAAAAAAAAAAAAATTCGATAGTCGGTGTTTAAAAACATGTATGCATCTGTCCAAGTTTTGCAACGAAAATACGGAATTTGTCAAATTCTTCGGACGAAATATCAAATTCGCGTAACAAGTTCTCACTGATAGATAAATAAAAATAAATAAAAATATTACTTTTAAACAGTGAATATTGAATTTCACTGATAAAATCTATATAAAAAATCGAGACCCATAGAAAGAGAAATAGATAGGGAATAAAAAAAAACATTTATGAAGAAAAATTTGACGGTTAATATCCGGAATGAAATTTACTTGTGCAAATACGCGCGATAAATGCGATCCGCGCCTGGTACAATGATGTCTGTAATTTGTCTGGATTAAAATTTTACGACAAATATTCTCCCGCGAGGGAAACGAATATCTTGATAAAATAAAATTCCATTGAAAGAAGAAATGAAAAAAAATATACGCGATTATATATTTTCGTTACATATTCGTTACGTAATTAGTATAAGTATAAATTAATAATCGATTTATTTTATAAATTTTCTATAAATTACCGAGTATAGAAATTTTTGCAACAATTTCAATTTAGGATTTGAAGAAAAACTTCCTTAAACGTTGTTCATAAATGATCGATTAATTCGCGATATCACGTGACATAACAAAAAAAAAAAAAAAAAAAGAATCTCTCGGTCGAAGAGAGAATTTCATAATGAAACGAAGCGTTTTCAATCGCTTTATTGAATTTTTCCCACTCGAGGGAAAGGGAAGGGTTTTCGCTTAATGTCTTCGAGTAAAGAAGTTAACTTATTCGAATCAGCCGACCTCAATTTGTCGTAAAAGGAGCAAGGAGAAGAAAGCTCGCAGCCTGGTTCGGGGATATCCAAGTAATTTTTTTTAATCGAGGAAAAATTGCCTTATCCGGGACAATAGTGTGATAACCGGATATTAAGAAAAATTCAAACGTGGAATGGAAATAAATTAAAAATATCAAGGAGAAGAGAATCGGAGAATTACAATAGAATTAAATTGGAAATTGAAACGTCGAATTTCAATTTTGATATTTCGAGAATTAAAAGTTAGGACAAAGAAATTTTAAAATATTTCAAATTTCGTGAGAAATAATAATAAAATTTCTCCAATATTTGAAATTTGAAATTACAAAGATTATTAAAATATATGTTGAAATTAAATTTCAATATAATAAAAAAGGAAGAAAGGGGACAGAAATTCGAAAGATCTAAAAATTAACGAAACTTAAAAAGAATCGAGTCTGGAAAATTTAAATAATCAGCAATATCAAAAGGAAAAATTTAAAAAGAAAATTATATTTCCAATTTTCATTGTAACCCTCCTCATTGATACTTTTAATTTATTTCCATTCCACGTTTTTCTTAAAATTCGTTCAATTCGAGAATTCGATCCATACGACAAAATATGATATCAAATTTACAAAATATCCCATCATTTTCGCAAATCCTCCCCCAACATGCAAATAAGCGAAAATAATTATTATCATTTCCCTCATTATACTAAAATTTAGGAACAAATTTTCGTTTCGTCGATCATTCGTGGAAAATTGTCGTAGGTTCGAGATTAAAAAAAAAAAAAAGAAGAGATAGAAAATGTGGACTTTTCATCCATTCGTGGTGGATGAAAACCGCGCGAAAAGCGATGTTTTTCTTTTTTCTCTCTCTCTCTCTTCCTCGAACACGCATTGGTCCCGTGTTGCTGGATGCGTAATTGCTGATGGAACGAAATTATCGGCCGCTTTTAACGAAGATAAGGGAAGGTTGGGTGATTAATGAAAAGCACCCTTGAGGGGAGCGAGGGTAGAATCCACGTAAGGGCGTCGATGCAATTACGGTGGACTGTCATCCGCGAATAAATGCATTCCGGAGTTATCGTTGCCCCCAAGAATCCTGCAATTTATGCACGATTTACGTTGCACGGTATGCTTTTGCCGAGATTACGTAAAAGGTTTCTGTTAGGTTTAACTATGGAAATTTTACGGAAGAGAAATTCTTTCGTTTATCCTTCCCGCGAATTTCAAATATATTTTTCCGATAGATTTATAGATAAATTAAAAACGTTTTGATAATTCATGGATTTTTCCAATGTTTTGGATGAATTTTTTTATATTCATACGATTTATCGATTCTTTATCGAAACTTGGAAAAATCGAGTAATTTTGAAAATTTGGATAATGGATGGAGACATCGTTTGGAAACATCGGTAAAATTTGGAAGGATTTTTAAGAGGCCCGAAGGAAGAAAATTCACAATTACAGATTAAGTTACATCCAATTGTCATGCATGGAGTAAGAGTTACGCGAAAAGAAATTCTTCGAACAAACAGAGGAGAAAAATCAAAGTATCTCTCCACCCTCGTAGATTCTGACGGAAAGGAAGTCAGTCCATCTCTCTTCTTCTCGATGGTCGAAGAGAAAAATCGAGAGGGAGGATGGAAGTGGATAGACTCGATGGTCCGCGATAGGAAAATGGCGCGACGTGAAGTAACGACTTCTCGAATCCATTCTCGTTACAGCATGAGACGTGGGTGACGTGCCATCGTCCAAGGCTAGTTTCACTCGAAAGAAACGTTCCTCCTCCTTTGGGGAGGAAGGAGCTGCTATATTTCGAGGTGGCCAATCGCCCCTGTCTCCTCTCGTGAACCTTCACGACCCATAACAAGATTTTTCGTGTAACCAGCACCCCCCTCCTTCTTTTGTCAGGGGCAATCGATTCCTCATCTTTTCCCTTCTTCTTCTTCTTCTTCTTCTTCTTCCTTTCCAGTTTTTCTCCTCGAATCCGATCCTTCAATGAGAAAAGGAAACTTTTCTTACATTTTACTTCAATTATTTCATATATTTCATACGATTCGCAGTAATTTGAAGTAATTTTTCAAATTTTCTGAGTTACACGCTCTTATTTTTATTATACAATTTTTACACTCGAGCTGTTGACAAATCATCGACCATCACCTTCTTCCGTAATTTCATCCTTCTTCCTCTTTTTCAATAATTTCGAGGAATATATGCGAACGAGTCACGACGTGTGTCTGTAAAAACGGGAGGAGGGGTGAGAAGGGGGGATGAGAAACGCGAAAGTGCCACGCCATTTTATGACAGGTGTAAACGCATTCCTTGTACGCGGCGTGGTTGGAACAACAGAGATCTGTGCGGGAAATTGCTCGTTCGATGGTTTACGGCCGTGCCTCGGCCACGGTTCTGCGGATGGCGAATGGAGAATTAAATGGACGACAGATACAGGTGATAAAGCCTCGTGCTCGAATTTATACGAGACAACGGCGACCGTCTTTTCGGTCGAAAGATATTCTGAATTTTAGTCGTTTCCACAATTTTCTTCCCCCTCCAATGAGTTCGAGAATCCTTATTCGAATCCTCTTCGAGAGTTTTCAAAAACAAATTGAAATTATTTCAAATTTCTCGATTTCAAGTTGAAGAAAAAAGGAAAATAATTTTTCTCGATCTTCAGAATTTTAATCCCTCTTGTCCTTCCCTCTTCTTTTCAATCGAGACGGATATCCAAAATTCAAATTACAGGTCTGCACCACCACCCGTTACAAGCCTAATCAAAGCCCGTCACTCGAGGCAAAACGGGTCTTGATGTATTCATAATGGTCGTTCTTCGTCGCGGGCGATTTTGTCGAATTCGAGCAATTAGTCCGCGAGCAACGGCCACCGACGAGTCGCGGGAGGAGGATTGGAGGGACAGAAAGTGGGGGAGAAGAAGAGGAAGAAGAAAACTTGAGTCGAAGTATCATTAACCTGGTGGAGATTGTTGTCTCGGTTAATGAGGTGGCCCACCTGGACGCAACCGAGTTTGTAAGCCGCTTCTTACCGTCCCTATCCTCCTTGATATTTGTATCAGGTAAATGTGTCTGATATCACGTACAGGTGAGTTAATTTTTTTTTTTTTCCAATTATTAATAAGTTTCTTTTCTCTCTTCTTCGAGTTCTCTTCATTTCAATTTCGAGAAGATTCAAGTTTCAATTTTTATACAATTGTAATATGAAATTGTACGAGAGTTTTGTACGATAGCGTAGATAGGAGTAGTTGATCGATGAATTTTTTGTTTTTAGTATTTACATTTCAAGTTCAATTTTTTAATTCAATTTCAGAGGAGATTCGAGATGCGTAAGTTTTAATTCTAGTGGAAAATGGAATATAAAGAAAGTATCTATAGATATGTGTAAATATATAATTTCAAAATTATATATCGCGTTTCATGGAGATTCTGAAAATTTTATCATGAATGATTGAATGATTGAACGAAGTAAAGCGTATACATAAACATAACAATAATAATATTAGAGGATATGAATATACATGAATATTTACCATTTCTACAAACATCTCACTCTCGTTTCGTACGAGCAATATCTATATTACCGGTAGCGCAGATCGAACAAAATATTAATTCACAAATTTGGATATTTATTAGTTCAAATATCTAACGATATTAGGGGACGTGTTTACCGGGGTGTACACCATCGGTACGCGTAATTATGGTCTCTCGTTTCGGATATACGGTGGCTCTGAAACGAAATCGAGGCCGTGCGCGAGTTATTAGCGATCGCATTTACCAATTACCTGACTGAACTATATCGGATTATCGTTCATTGCGGCCAACGTTAAATAATAAAATTCACTGTGAGCTTGTCTCCCACCGCCGGGTTTAGCGTTTAAACGAGCTCGAATTTTTCCATTTTACGATAATAGGGGATCGTTTAATTCGATCAATATGAAATATAAATAATTCACGCGAGCGTTTCACATGGAACGTGGTTTAATAACGATGAATGAACAGTTTCGAGGTTACACAACCTCTTGCGGTGCAAAAAGGAACTATGAATCCGAGAAAATTGCGTTTTCATCGTTGTTTTCATCGTTGTTACAAAAGAATTGAATATATTTTTTTTTACGAATTGTGTCGAACGACGTAATGAATTTTCTCTATATTTGTTTTTTTTTTTTTTTAGAACTTTCTTTGCGATCGTTGTAATTAATTATGATTTTGTAATTAAATTTTGAAGTGTAATATCTATTCATAATATTTTTGGTAGTTATTTAATTAAATAGATTATTGATTGAGTTTCAGAGATTTTGTTCAGTTTAATAAAGAAGTTGGTAAATATCCAGAAGTTGGTAAATATATTTCGGAAAGAAGAGCAATGAAAACTATTTTTTGTTTTTATTAAAATTTATATATAGTAATATTTCTTTATTCATTGCATTGATATGTAAGAAATCTTGTCTTTTGCAAACATTTGTAACATATTGAAATATTCAAGATAATTAAGTATATGCAAAAATTTTAATTCGCGTAAACATCGATCGAATTATTACGGGTTCAAAATCTTAATTAATTAATTTCATGCAACAGAACAAACTCCACGTAAGAAATTTTTTAAATTGTTCTCGAAAGAAACGATAATACAATTGCAAGACTTTTTAAATTTGTTAATATTCGTTGAACAAACCACAAAACGTGGTTTGATTTTTTATTTCGAGAAAAGGAAAAGAAGGAGATAATTCCACACCCGCGTTAATTGAAAGTGATCAAAAGTGTAAAGTGAATGGACAGTTTAATCGAGTCGTGTCGGGCAGAAAATATCCGCTTAATTTTAAAGAGAGCGCGTAAATCACTTATACCTCGCGAAAGTACGGTAAATTGGCCGGAAACGGGCCTGTAATACGTTTACGAAATACCAGGGATATTCCCGATGAAAAATGAATTCCAGAGTCGTAAAGCAAACTTACGATCGGTGGAATAAATTCCATCGATCTAACGTGCTGCTTCTTCGTTGCATCGTTGCACTTTCATCCAATTTTTTTTCCTTCCCGTGAAAATATTTTTACGCGACGTCGATCGTTTAATAACATCGGGTTGTATCATATTTCGTTCTTCTTCTTTTTTTTTTTTTTTCCCGAATATATCATTCGAAAATGATAATTCAAAATTGATCGTATCGTGATATAAACTTATTTATTCTGCAAACTTGTGGTATAAATATAAAAATGATATTTTATATAAATATATTATCGAATAGAATAATGAATCGACTCTTTTTGAGTCACGATTTTCATTCTTTTTCTTTACCGAGGAAAAATGGCGAATTCCAAAATTAAAGCCGTTGTGTTAAATAACAATATTGTAGAATAGAATAATAGGATAGAATATAGACACAATGGAATAAAGTAATAAAATGTTCATTTCATTTTTTTATAACATTAAAACACCGTTCCTCCAACGAAATAACGATAGAATCGAATGGAATTGAATAAGAAGATAAAACGAATCGCAGAGTTATGACATAAGACAGAAAACTTGGAGACATTCACAGAAGAAATGCTCGGCTTCAAACTCGAGCAAACGTGACAAAGGGTTGGCGTATCAACCGCGATAAAGGAACGATCGATTCTCGAGGGTGGATAATAGAAGGTTAGAGCAAAAGTTAGAGTCCCGATTTGGAAAGATTTAGCGGGGTGGGTCAGCCAAGGTTCTCCTTGTTCGTTCTTGGCGCAACAAGTGCCTTTTTCGTGGCCGCCTGGTGAAATCGTTGCGCGAGCCCGATCGTTATCCAGAAAATTAATCAACCACGTCTGGCGGAAGGTAACCCTAGAAGCTAACGAGGCGAAACTTCGTTAGCCTTAAAGCGCGCGAATCACGGGATTCGTGGTATCGGGGAGCTCGTGCTCTCTCGTCTCGTGCCCGTAATAATGACACCACATCGTTAAATCGTGGCTCGGGACAATCGAAGAAACGCCACTTACGCTCTGGATTCTCGCCATTTCGATCGCTTTCTCGAGAAACCAATAAAAATATTGGTATAATTTTATTTATCAGGAATATTAGGATCGTGTCAATAAGATTTATTATTCGTATAGAATTTATTAATACAATTGTAACTAGACATTTTTAATAATTTCTTTTATAGTTATACCATTTTTAATTGGAAGAAATTGATTAATTCTATTAATATCAAGATCAGATATAGCTCTCCCTCGAATAAATAATATTCTCGTCATTTCGATCGCTTTCTCGAGAAACCAATAAAAATATTGGTATAATTTTATTTATCAGGAATATTAGGATCGTGTCAATAAGATTTATTATTCGTATAGAATTTATTAATACAATTGTAACTAGACATTTTTAATAATTTCTTTTATAGTTATACCATTTTTAATTGGAAGAAATTGATTAATTCTATTAATATCAGGATCAGATATAACTCTCCCTCGAATAAATAATATTCTCGTAATTTCGATCGCTTTCTCGAGAAACCAATAAAAATATTGGTATAATTTTATTTATCAGGAATATTAGGATCGTGTCAATAAGATTTATTATTCGTATAGAATTTATTAACACAATTGTAACTAGACATTTTGCATTTCTAATAACTTCTTTTATAGTTATACCATTTTTAATTGGAAGAAATTGATTAATTCTATTAATATCAGGATCAGATATAACTCTCCCTCGAATAAATAATATTCCCGTAATTTTGATGGCTTTTTCGAGAGACCAATCATAAAAATATCGGTATAATTTTATATATATTTTCATCAGGAATATTAGGATCGTATATCAATAAGATTTATTATTCGTATAGAATTTATTAATACAATTGTAACTAGACATTTTTAATAATTTCTTTTATAGTTATGCCATTTTTAATTGGAAGAAATGGGAAAATTGATTAATTGTATTAATATCAGGATGATCAGATATAGTTGTCCCTCGAATAAATAATATTAGATTTTGATTATTACCTCCATCATTATTATTATTATTATATATTGTATATTCTCCTTTATTTGCTCATTTATATCACTCTTCAAATAGATTTTGCAATTTTTTCATTTTATGTATCAATTGTGTAGCTTTTATTTCATTCTCGAGAAAAAGGAAATAATTCGAACGAATTTTGGAAAAAGGTAGTTTGAATCGATCATTGGGAAAATTTGCGTGGAAGCGTTGTTTCTTTTCGCGAAGGAATTTAAATTGATTATTTGGATGGATTGAATTTATTAAATTTTTAACTTTTTGGAGAAATAGTGGAGGAAATTTTACAAGAGAAATGCGACAAATGTGATGGAAACACTTTGGAATAATTAGATCCTCGATTAATCGATTCTTCTCAATTTAATCGATCGACGCCCGACGAATCGAAACTTCGTTCAAAGCTTGCAATCCATTTTTCTCTTTTTTAACGTCTGCAAGTTTGTTGTTCATCCCAACAACCGAATCGCGAGAAACAAAATCAGATACTTATTTCGAACGCTCAATTAATTTAATCCAAACCGATCGAAGGAACGAATACACAGTTTTCGAGTTTCGAAACTTCTACCCTCGTAGAACAGAACAGGATTCATTCCCAATTGTTGGACGATCTTTCGAGGAAACGAGTTTACGGGAATAGCTTTCGCGAAATAGCTGCCCGATAGACGGAGAGGAAGGGGGATCCGCTTGTGCAGAATGTTGATCGAGGCCCGTAGATATTTTGATGAGATTCCTTTTGAGCGACGTATCCTTATCCCCCCCACTCCACTCCACTCCTCGTTCCACTCTCGTAGCCCGTCAAAGCGGAGTGTAATAATTTGCGCGCACGAAACAGCTGCATATACACGCTACACCACGCCACGATATGCATGATATACTACAGACTACAGCCACGTACGTACAGATATTACACTGGTATCGCGCGGGCGGCCAACCATCTGCATTACCATCTTCCAAAACCCCCGATTAACCCCTTTACAATGTGGATATAAAGTGGAATTTCCCTTTTTTTTTCTTTTTTTTTTTTTTTATTACAAGCGATGGACTGATATTCCGTT